GTAGTTGAACTAATTTAAACTTATCCCCAACTAGCTTACAAATGAGACTCAGACTATGGTTATTTTATTTGGCTTTGACAATTACTAGGGGGTCACCCCTAATTTACTTTTCTAACTGCTGGCCTGGCTACTTCCTCAGCAGCGTACCCCAAATATTCGCTGTGTTTCTCCTGGCCATGTGCTTATGGTCTATCGCCTCTCACGATGGCTTCCTCCTCTCTCCTCCTCCTCCTCCTCTTCTTCCTGTCCTTCTCTCTGCTTCCCCCCACCAGGTAACTCAAAACCTGTCCACCTCTAATCCCTCCAGTAATTATCTGTACCATTTTTATTCAATCAATAGTTTTAAATTAAAGAACACAGTGTGCACAACAAAAGCTGGTAATTTACTGGTAGGCAAGGAGACCTGCGGGTACAGAACTCAGCGTTACAGCACACAGTAACAGACCGGGCCTCAGCAGATCTCTGTGAGGCTGAGGTCAGCCAGGGCTACAATAGTAAGACTCTGTCTCAAACACCAAACGAATACATAAAATAATAACAAACAGGGGACTAGGATGTAGGCCGGTCGGTAGAGTATTTCCCTAGCGTGTTCAAAGCCTTGGGTTTGTGTAATCCCCAACCCCACATAAACCTGGTGTGTTGGTACCGCATCTGGAATCCTAGAATTTGGGGGATGAAAGTAAAAGGATCAGGGTCGTCCATGGCTGGGGAGACAGCTCAGCAGCTAAGTGTAAGGATCTGAGATCCCATCTCAGAGTTCATGTAAAAGGTGGATGAGGTGGTTTGCTGGAGGGAGAAGGGAAGCAGAGACAGGCTGATCCCTGAAGCGAATGGCCGACAGCCTAGCCAAACTGATTTGTTCCAGGTCCAATATAAGACCCTGTCTCAGATAATGTGACAAAGACACCTGATATTGACCTCCTGGCCTCCACAGGCACACATACTACAATGTGCCCACACTCGAAGGAATACAAACACAACACACACACAAATGTAAGGTACTCAAGATCATCTTGGGCTCCCCTTGTAAGTTTGAGGACAACCTGGAATACATGAGATCCTACCTGAAATATTTTTTTATTCTTTTTTTAAATATAACACTTCTGGGCTGGAAAGATGGCTCAGTGGTTAAGAGCACTTGGCTGTTCTTCCAGAGGTCCTGAGTTCAATTCTCAGCAACTACAAGGCAGCTCATGAGCTCATGATCAGTGCTCTCTTATGGTGTTCAGGCATACATGCAGACAAAACACTTGTATAAACAAACAAACAAACAAACAAGACATTTCCATGACTTCAGAGAGGACTGTGAAAGGTCTCTGTTGGCCTGCCCTGTGCTTGCTTTTTTATAGGTCATGGTAAGCATGCATGTACCAGAGGAAGCTCTTCCAGCCCTGCCCAATTCTGTTTCCCTCAGCTCAGTCTTGGTCCAGGGACACCCATATGACCCCAGTCCCCACAGAAGACAAGGCAGCCACTCCGTGTGTGAGCGCTCCCATCCCTCTGTTACGGTATTGGGGGAAGTGCTGCTGTTTCTAAGTTGCCCCTCAAAGTACCAGTAACAGAGCCAGAGACAGAGAGAATGGAGCAGGCAAGTAACCCAGGGAGAGTCAACAGGATAAAGGGTTGGGCTCCACTTGTCACTTAGAAAAACATTTTGTGTGTGGGTGCTTTGCCTGTATGTATGCCTGTGTGTCTGTCACATGTACGCAGTTGGCCTGAAGACCAGAAAAGGCCACTGGACCCCTGGAACTAGAGTTATGGATGGTTATGAGCCATCCATATATGGGTGCTGGGAATCAAACCCCTGTCCTCTGCAAGAACAAGTGCTCTTAACTGCTGAGCCTTCCGTCCAGCCCCAGCTTGTCATTCGTGAACTGAGTCAAAGCTACACCATGGGCATCTGGCCCAGAATTTGCAGGCAGGCAGACTATAAGTCTGTTAGACAAAAGTCAGAATGATCTAGCCTCCTGCCTCCCTTACCACCCTACTTTGGAGAAGAGCCCGTTACTGACACTCTACAGGGACTTCCGGAGTGGAGATATATAAACAGAAGGGTGTCCAAACTTTCTCTATCTGGGTTTGGGGGATCCAGTGAGGCTGCCTAGACCCCATGGACAGAAGAGCCCTCCCTGACTGGCCTCTCAGAGGCCTTCCCTCCTCCTCTTCCTCCTCTTCTTCCTCCTCCTCTCTCCCCACTCCTGCTCATTCCTGTTTCTTTACACCCTGTCTTTTCTCCTCTTTGGGTTCTTGAGTGTATACACACAAACTTTCCTTGGTTTCAAGCAAGCAGTGCCTAAGGGCCCCCTGCTCTGCATGGTTCAGAGATGTCCAGAGCGCTCTACACGCAGGAGAGGTGAGTGATGACATCATCTAGAGAGCAACTTGAAAAAGGAAGTAGAAGCCATGCATAAGACATACCTGTAATCGCAGGACTCATGGGGCTGGGGCAAGAGGATCAGTGTAGGTTCAGGGTTCCATGGGCTGGCTGTGTAGCAACGCCCGACTTTAAAACACAAAAGCCCGAGAAGCAGAAGAGAACACAGAGACAAAGGAACGGATCTGACCATGCGTACACCCAAGGGTGAGACGCGCGACAAGCTGTTGTCTCTCGGCATTCAACGCATCATCTCTGGCTATGAGCCACTGCACCCTACATAGAAGAACACCAAGACACAAAAAGTTACCCCACTGTTGGGCAAACATACAAGGACTGCTCTCATTCTGTCTGGTTATACACAAGACACAAGAGATCCGATAACGGACAGGACAGTTCCTAGTCTCCAGGGGCCTTTTAAATTGGAAGTTTCTAGATAAGGTGCATAGAAGGACTCGAACTCATGACAGGCCTGCCTCAGTTTCCCCACTGCTGCCGCTGCTCCATCAGCTGAGACTCCAGATGAATTAACCCTTTCCAGACCATGTTTCTTCCTCTCAAAGATGAACATATCTATTCTGCTAACCAATGAAATGAAAAATCAAATGAGTCAGGGAATACATATGGAAGTGCTTTACAAATATTAGAAGGGAGAAACTACCTGTGGAAGAGGAAAGAGACAAATGTCATCTAACAGGAGCAGGCCTCAGCATGGAACGGCCTAGCAGGAGCTCAGGGTCAAAGTCCAGCGAGGTCCCTTAGCAACCTGCTGAGACTCTCCTTAGGGATCCCATTGTTTCAACAGTGGGAGGCCAATGTGTCAGAACTCCCCCGGCTTCCTCTCCCGTTAATGAATTAGAATCTACCAAGACTCAGGGTTTGAGGTTACATAAGCATCATTCAGATCCTCTGTAACAGTCACATTCATTTTGGAAAAAACAGCGTTTTCATTAAAATGGTGTTATGTAAAAAAAGTATTTTTTGTGTGTGAGTAGGATCGGGCAGGCATGCGCACTTGTAAGGAACACACAGGATGTATACATACCATGATGATAGTACCTTGTAGGTTTTGACCTACTTGGACAACATGAAGAGACACAAATGTCCAGCTATGAGGACTACAGTAGGAAAGCTGCCCCCCCCCATTCCCCAGGAACTAAGGTCTTGAATCCTAGTAACTCATCCATAGCAATCTGAATGGCCAGACCTGGACAGATCCCTTTCTCCCAAGGCACTTCACCAGAGGACAGATCACTAAAAAGCATTTGAAATGGGCAGTGGGATGGCCCAGCCAGGGAGAGAGCTTCCCAGGAAAGCCGACTTTGATTCCCAGAGCCCACTCCAGTTCACTGGGGCGCATATACAGCATACAATTTTTAAAACAACTCAATACAGAGTTGAAACCGCTCCTTAGGAGCTGCTACTCCTAGCAGACAAATGGAGAAACCAAACCCTTCCTGAGAAACCTTGAACCTGGGCCTGGGCCTAAAGAATTCGGGAGGGCTCTCTGGGTCCACTAGGCATCTCTATCTCCCTCAAACTGAGGACGGAACCACGAGGTGGTGGTGGTGGGGAGCTAGGCTAGAAGGATGGGAGCGTCTGGCACCTAAGGTGGCCTTACACATAAGGTGTCATTTTAGTGTGGTCACCCTGTCCCGAGGTCAGTTCCATTCCTCACACTCTGGGGTCTCGGTTCCGCCCCTACACACTTCTTTCCAGATATATATTAGCGGTATTCTTATATAAGGCACTGGGTCCTAAGCAGGAAATACCGTAACTGCCTCGAACCCAATTTGGCTTCTCCATTTTCTCCCAGGTTTCGTAGGGCGGAACCATTGAGCCTTCTTCGAGAGTAAAGCATCGGAAACACAAACACCCCAGCACCGAGCACGGAAACCGGAGCTTTGGAGTGGCCTTTTAAGTAGTTGGGAAGGGGGTGTGGCCGAGAGGACCAGGAGGCCGCAGCCCAGCAAGCGGGGAGTGGCCCGGGGGGCGTGGCCGTGGCGACTGGAATGTTGTTGGGTCCTTGCACCGCATAGTAAGGAGGGGCCACGCCCCCTTTCTGCGAGCCGGCCAATCGGAATGCCGGAGCGGTTTCAAGTCTCCCCCGCCAGCTTGCCCGCCCGCCACCCCACCCCCCTCGGGGATTCGCTTTTTCCGTAAGAAAATAGCAAACCTCTGCAAGGTCCGCAGCCCCTGCCGCTCGCCGGTGGAGGGTCCCGGGGCCTAGAACGCTGGCCCGGAGCGGGACGCGCTGGCAGGCGGTGGAGAGGCCGGTCCAAGATCTGGGAGGAGCGCGGGGGTGGGCGCTGCAGCGGCGGGTTGTTTATCTGGAGTACGGAGGGGAGGGGGGAGCCTGGAAACCGCCCCGTGTCCCATTTCCTCCTCTTGTTTTCGCTCCGGATTCTCCATGTTGGACCCAAACTGAGGAGCCCGGAGCTGCCACCGGGGGATCGGGGCTGGGGGAACCGGGGGAGCCACGGCCTGGGCCGCCCGCCCTCTGTGCAGGCCGCCTCCCTTCCCGGCCCGGGGAGGAAACGCGAGGGGTGGGGGGATGTGAGCAGCTGCGGGAGTCGGAGTCTCGGGAGCCGGAGCCCAACGGGCCCCCGCCCAGGCCCCCCAGCCCAGCCCGCCTGCGCGCCCGCCCGCCCGCGCGTCCTCCCGCCCAGCCAGCCCGGGCCCGCGGGATTGTTAGATGGAACACGGCTCCATCATCACCCAGGCGCGGAGGGAAGACGCCCTGGTGCTCACCAAGCAAGGTAGGGGCGCAACTTCCCAAAAACTTTGCGTCGCCCCCGGGAGGGGAGGGGGCGGAGGATCCGGCGGAGACCCGGGGGGGTCCGTCGGTCCTCGCGCACCCGTCGGCTCTCGGACCCCAGTCGGGAGCTGAGCGAGGCCCCGAGGCTGCCAGCGCCCGGCGGGAGGGTGTCATCGGCGCAGCTGTCACCCGTCGGGCCACCCCTCCCCCGCGGGGGCGCGCGGCGCGCCAGGCCACCCGCGCCGCCCCTACCCGATCGGCGGAGATGGAGTGGTCACTCCTCCCCCCCAACACCACCACCACCGCCGCGCGCCTGCCCCCGGGGCCGCGGGGAAAGCACGAGGGGTCCCGAGCTGGAACACCGCCGGGACCGGAGTTCTCACACCGGACCGGGATGCCCGGGCGCTCGGCCGTGGCGGCGCGGGGACTCGGAACGAAGTTCACCAGCCCCTAGGCGGGGGCGGCGGGATGGGTGGGGGAGGGCCGCGGTCACCGCCGGGCGCGGGACTCTAAGCGGTTCGGCGGAGCAAACAAGCCGGACCTGAGGCCGGGCTGGAGCCCCTCCCTGCCCCGTGCGCTCCCCCGGGGCCGCCGCTGCACACACACACACACACACACAGCCGCATTTGTTTAGCCCGGGAGCGGTGTCCCTGGTTACATAATTCGCCGGATGGCATCAGACCCAGCGTGTTTCTGAATCGCGCAGCGGAAAAAGTGCGAGTTGTCTGTGGGCAGGGGCTCGCGACACCCCCGTCCCTCTCCCTAATGGGGGTCGGGGGTCGGATTGGAACAGACAGGGGCGTCCGAAGCCCCTCTTTAGGGTGCGTGCTTGGGGAGCGGAGCGAAGGCCTTAGCCTCCCGCGGGGGCGGGGAGGAGATTGGGGCTGGGAAGGTGGGATTGCTCGGTTTGGTCACAGTGGGGGTCCCCTAAAACTCTTCCTCTCCTCTATGTTCATCTGGCCTTGAGCATTGTGTTCTGGATATCTGGTAGAAATTTCTTCCCAGAGTAAGGACTAGTGTTCGCCCCCCCCCCCCGGGTGGTTTTTTCTAGAGAACTCCCAGGACTGTGGCCACTTGGCTCAGAGGCTGAGTGGTGAGCACGCTCCTGGATCAGATCTCAAGCGTTGCAGCCCTCTCTCTCTATTCCAGTGGGGCATAAAAGGCCCGTGGCACAATTGAGTCGACTGAGGCCTAGAGCCTGGAAGGAGGCCAGTTGTGGGGCTTGGGGTGTAGGTCCTCATCCCTTATTAATACTAAGCAGCAGGTCATTTTTTTCCTGGGGTTCACTTCCCAAGGAGTCTACCCAACTTGCCTAGCCTAGGGGCAGAGAAGCTGGGCTGGTGTCCCAGGCTCTCTGGAATTCCTTGTTAGGATGGGGGAAGGGGAGTGGTGCGTGGTTCTTGGCTTTCACAGCCTGTGCTGTGAGCCGAAGCCCTGCCTGCCCCTCCTCCTTGCCAGGGTCTCTGTTCTGACTGCATCACTGACCCAGCTGTGTGATCCGCACAGCAAGTTCATCTCCTCTCCTGACCCCTCAGCAGTGCCGAGCACTGCAGAGGGAGACTGCCTGTGTTTATTATCAGTTACTGCCAGCGTTAGTTACCCTCGCTGCCTTATCCCGGGAAAAAGACCCAAGCCTCGGATGAGGAAATCTTGATGGGCAAGGACATAAGAGGAGGGGATAGTGACAAGAAGCCAGGAACAGCGTGTGCCTCCTTCCCGCCTGTGCTGCCTTACAGGGTCTCCTAGTGGTGTCCTGAGGGTGTTGAGGCCACAGTGGGATAAGAAGAATCCGGACTGTGCTGTATGTAGCTGCACTGAGCAAATCAGAGCTGAAGTTTCATCCAGCAGGATGAGTGACAGGCGGCAGAGAGCAGAGCAGCTGGCTTCCTGACCGTGTCAGGTTGCTGGTGCTCGTTGCGTTTTCTTGGAGTTACATTTTTGTTTTCTTTTTTTGTGTGTAGTTTGTCCTTCACATTTCTCCCTGGAGGAATCTGAATTGTCCAGCCAGCAGCCTCTTGGTCTCTCTCCCCCTCCCCTTGTCATTCGATTGCACTGGGGCAAGAGGCATGCTTGCTTCTGAGCTGCTTGGTACCCAGCAACCAGGCCGACTAGCTGAGTGGGACATCAGTTACAAACAGAACCTGCTGCATCTTCACGCTCCTTTAGGGATTCCTGCCCCTCCCCCTCACCGTCTCCCATCCCCCACTCCTGTCTACCTTTGGAAGAGCATAAGAGGAGAGTGAAGCAGTTTGTTATGAGTTGATTTCTGGAAAGAAACAGGTTGCCCTAGCTTCGGTGTTTTCTCAGTTAAGTTGTTTACCAGGACAGGTTTTTTATTTTGACTGTTTGTTTGTTTATTTTTAGCATTCTGTTCTCTGAGTGTTAAGGCTGCCTGGTGTGTTGATGATTCAAAAGTAATTACAGTCGGAGAGGTAGAACAAAGTTGCTGAAGTCATTGATAATAAAAGCGGCAAAATTAGATCATCTTTCCAGGCAGACGAGAGAAATGGCTCTCCTACAGCAAAAAGCTGGTCGTGTGTGTATCACATCAAAAATAAAAGTATCCGTTTGACAGGAATGGGTATTTACTGGGGCCTGGTGTAAGGGGTCATCCAGTTACTGGGAGGCTGTACCTAGCTCTGGGCTCAGATGGGGAAAGCAGAGGAAACAAGGCTGCCTTTGGCAGCCCAAAGTGAGGTAGAGGCGAGCCCTCCAGTAACCTATCAGGACTTTGGGGGGAGTCAGAAATGATCTGTTATGGGAAAGATCCAGTGCCTACTCTTAGAAGAATGACTAAGCTTTGGGTTCCTGTCTCACATCTGGAACTGGGCGGGGTCTAATGGCTAGTTACTCTGGAGATTCTTCTCAGAGACTGCTGTCACAAAAAAATAGAATCATTTTGTTGGATTCATATTTTATGTGTATGGGTGTTTTGCCTCCGTGTATGTCTGTGCAACACGTGGTTGCCTGGTGCCCACAGAGGTCAGAAGAGGGCATATGGTTCCCTGAAACTGGAGTCGGATGGTTGTGAGCCACCATGGGGTCTGGGAATTGAACTCAGGTTCTCTGGAAGAGCAGCCAGTGCTCTAATCCTCTGAGCCGTCTCCCCAGCCCCTCAGTGACAAGTTTCTCTTCTTGCTCTCCACAGAAGGAAGAGATCCTACCCTTTTCCCTTTAGAGTCCAAGCTCCCTGTAGCTGTAGCTAAGCCTTTAACAAGAAAAACTTTGAAAGGAGACTCAGTCCAGCTCCCTCTGGACTTATCCCCCATCCCGGGTAAGGCTGAGTGGCCACTGAGACCGTTGTAAGCCAGTGTTGCCCCACACTGAGAGCCCTGGGGTAGGGCTTTTGCTCTACCACAGTTAGTAAGTGTGCAGAGCCTGAGACTTGGCCGCTGACTCGGAGAAGTTTAAAGAAGCAGTACTTGAGGGGGTTGGGGGTAGAGGTGAAAAGTTCCTGGGGATCAAAGGCATGGGGAGGCCCATGTCCTTCCTCCCAGCCAGAGAAGGTGGAAGTTAAACAGGGTGGCAGCTGGCTCTGGAGGCTTCTCCGAGAGTCAGTCCTTTAGTGAGATGTACATTTCTAACAACAGGATATGAGAGATACAAGAGATGCTGTAAGCATGGGAGAGAGAACATGTGAACGTAAATGACCTGAGTGCACATGCATGGGAGAGAACATGTGACATAAGTGGGCTGTGTGAGTGCACACACATGAGAGAGAACATGTGACATAAGTGAGCTGTGTGTGTGCACACGCATGGGAGAGAACATGTGACATAAGTGGGCTGTGTGAGTGCACACGCATGCACTTAACTGACATACGTAGTTGGGCACAGCGTCCCCCTCAGTTTTGAGAATTGTGGGTGTTGTCTTTTTCCATATTGGGATGTTTGATCCTGGGACTGGTGAGGAAGTGGATCAGCAGTTGTGAAGGGACAGTTAAGTGTTCTTATTGTCGTTCCGGTATTGGTTGCTTCAGACTGGTTCCTAAAAGCAGCTTGGCTGGTGTTCTGTCCTCCTGCTTCCGTCCCCTGGACACGCTGTGGAAAGGTTTTACTACTAAGGGCAGTCACCACCTTGGTGTGGAAGGAGCCTGAGCCTCTTGGACGGAGGAGCCTCTGAGCCTTCCAAGGCCTTCCTACAGACGGCTGCTTGTGCCCGTGTGAAGGGGGTGGAGCTTCAGGCATTCGAGCCAGTGCCTGGGCACCTGGGGGCAGGACAAGCCCTTACCTGAGGCCTTACAGCCCTGGCCTCATGAGAGAGTCTCTGAAGACTAGCTTAAACCTTGGAAGCAGTTTGGTGTCTTGGAGAGGGAACTGGCAGTTGTGTGTGTGACTGTAACTGCCACGGTCTTCATTTGGTTGGAGAGTCTGTGGTCTCGGTGAGATTAGGTTCTAGGTACTCTTAGTGACTAGCAGAAGGAAGGCTCTGTAGAGAGAGGTTTGGTCTGAGTGTGAGAGCCTCGAGATGCTTTCCATCCTGTCTCAAGCTGAAACGACTGAGAGGGAGGGTGCGATTTGCTGATGACGGCTCTCACGTGCTCTGAAAGCCTGTGTGTAGCCAGCTGGGATGTAGATGAACATGTCACATGCAGATCTGAGGAAGAAACTGGATTAGAAGGGGGAAAGTGAACTTCTGTGAAATGGACCGCTCAGGATCAGACACCAAGAACAAGTTCCGTGTGAGTGCAGCACCCAGCCCTTCACTCCACGGGAGCATTCTCTAAGACGTTTCCTGCAGCCTGGCTCCATGGACCCCACAGCCTGGCTCCGGGCAGAGCCTTGAGGCTGATCTGAGTGAACGTAAACATAAAAGCACACTTACTCCGTCTCTGTCTATCTGTCCGTCTCTCTCTCATATTCTAATATTCCCCCCTCATCCTCGGTGGTGGTGCTGTAGTACGAGACAGACTTTGAACTTCTCCTGCCAAGTGCTGGATCACAGGAGGGCCTCCTTGTCACCTCTTATGATCCTGACAGACTCCTGTCCTGTTGAATTTGG